TACAGGAAGAGATCTCTGCTGCTTTCTCTGCTGCTTGGGTTTTTTCTCTTTTTATTTTATTTTCAAGCTTTCCACCATCTTGGAAACTTTCTAAAAAAAAATCCTGTCCGTGGAGATAATTAGCCCAAATTGCAATATTTAATTGCAATTGTTTAGTGATGAAATAGATAACTGCAAACGAACATGATGAACACATTAAAAAGGTATTGAACAATGTGAAAATAAAAGTGAATTTTTCTGCTGGTTCATAATACCTTAATTTATATTCTAATAAGCGGGGGTATGAGGAGGAGGTTATAATTAAATCATTAGCAAAAATATGCTGGTTACTTTGGGAAAGCTTAAATGTTCTAAAGAACTGAAGGAACAAGTACAGACATTTTGGTCGTACTTTTCATAGGAGTCCATAAATAGTTTTATTGTTCTGTGGGGACAAGATCTTCAAAGATACTTATGGGGGACCTAGACATCCAAGTTATTTGAAAATTTTGCTCTGTTCCTTACTCTTGTTCTGATCCTAAGCAAACATGCTTTCATGTACAGAAGATGGAAGCTCCTGTGAGAGTTTTAGACGCACAGGATTTAAATTATTGTGTACTACCAAGTCCAGTGTTGAAAACTGACATAGCTAATAGTACTAAAGGAGGGAGAAACTAAAACTTTCCACCAGAATTTGTTCATGAGATGCTAGCAGTAAAAGAAAAAAAAAAAACAAAACCTGATGATGTGGGGTTTTGCCTTGCAGATTCTTAGAAAGTTCAGAAAATAGCTTTATATCTCAGAAATATGTGGGGAAGTTGAAATCTCTTGACCGGTATGAAGATCAGACCTAAAGTAAGTGGAATATTCAGGTGGATTAAATTTGTCAGTTTATTTTAAATCAGACTAATTAGGCGTTCTCCTCAAAACTGGTTCCTGATGGTGAATTTTGATCCTAAGGTGTGTACTTAGAATTATAACTAAATATGTAACTGATGTTTGTCTTTGATGTCATGGTCAAAAATTATCATTTGTGGAATGAGAAACTACAGTCTGGTCATCTGTACATATTTAAAAGTGTGTATAGCAGCAGGAGTAGAACTCTCCATTTTATTGTGTGGAAGAGTCCCAACATAATTAAAATGAAGTTTTATATAATGATACATAAAATAACTGAGTTTATTAAGTTCAAATAGTTTATAATTGCCAGTGATCCATAAAATGAATTCTAAAACATTCTAGTAAAACTATGACATAGAGTACAGTTTTAGTTAAATTATTCCTCCACTGTAATTTCTTTTTTATGAGTAGATGCAGGAATATTGTCACTCTTAATATACAGATCTTACTGGTGTATTTCTACCATGTGTGCTTTTTTTTTTGTTTAAAGAAAATGTTACTCTGGTGAATAGGAATTGCCCAAAGAATAGACCTCTGTCAGTATAGCACAAAGTAATTCCTCTTCAGGCATCTGACATTGCAGTTAATCAGAAGAAAATGCACTTTACCTGACATATGTTGAATTCTGGGATCAGCCCTTTCTGTCTCTGTTTTTCTTAATAATGTCACTACCTGTTCTTCATGGATAAGCAGATGGGATTCAGAGAAAGATTTAAAATGGAAGCTCCCTTTGGTTTGATGTAGAAAATCCATATGTTCATCTCAATAACATGATGAGGATTCTTAGAAAAACATATTTGCTTGTAATATTTCAGTACAAAAGTTAATATTTCAATGTACACATTAAAATATTTGTGAGTTGGAATTTTTGGTTTTCTGCTGGTTTTTGTTTGTTTGAGGGTTTTTTTTGAGGGATTGTTTTGGAGGGTTTTTTGTTTAACTGGTGTATTGGGGAGTTTTGTTTGTTGGTTTGGAGATACTTTTTTTTCAAGATTCTGGTATAATTCTAGTTTCTTGTTTCTTGGTATAATTCAGGTTTCTTGTTTCTCTTCCAGTGTTGCATATGCTTACTAAAATAAAATTACAATTCAGAATACTTTCTCATGTTCCTTTACACAGCATAATGTACTCTTGAGTAGAATAGCCTGAAGTAAACTAAGTGGTTCTTTTTTAAAATATCATGAGGGGACTTTGTTAACATTTCTATAACTTTAAGAAGAAGTGGTTTAATAAGTTAAAGAATGCAAGAATATAAATTAACTTCTTTCTATGCAGCTTTTCTTTTGTGGTTTCAATACAGAGACATTTGTATGCTTTTGGGTGCTTTCAGAGGCAGTGCAAATGCTGCTTTGTAGCCTCTTTGCCATAATTCTCTCATCTTTTCTTATCTTGATTTATATATGCAGGATCTATAGATTTCATTGACAGGTTAAGTGAGTTCAATATACCCTACAACTGTACTTTGAGTGTTTCTTCCCTCTTCCAGCAAATCAAGAGCTTGAGATGCTGGAAAAAGAAATGTTTCTAATGCAGGGCTCTATCTACAGAACTATTTGAAACATCTATTTCAGGCTACAGGCACATGAAACAATGTTGAAAAGAACTGCAGTTGCTCAAGAAATTGTGGGATATTTATGTTTATATTAATGTAAGATTTTTCTTAACATTTCTTATAAATGACAAATTTAGACTATATTTGAGTGTTGTATTTTTAATTTAATCCTAGAAATGCCATAGTTTTGATTAAAAAAATTAAATACTGAAGATTTTACTGTCTCTTTTGTTTTTAAAATAATAGTTGCTATGTTTTAGGATACCCAGAGTAAAAATATCTCGGTTCCCAAGTCAACCAATTTCAAGATAATCCCAGAGTAAAACAAACTTTGTAGTTTCCTTTAGAGCTTTCTTAATGCCCAGAACTTGCTTGATTATTTAAGTAACTGAATAAAAATTCAGAAATCCATAAAATCAAATTTAGAACTCACAACTCTACATTAGAAAGCTCTACATATCCAGAAGCAGGAGTCCAGAAAAGTCAGGGTACAGATCTGTATGGGGAGTCAGTCTTGCAAAATTCTGTTTCCCTCAAGATGCTGTCTTTCATAGGCAAGGTTAAAAATACATGTACTAGATCTTCTTTCTGTAATTTTGCTGGTACACCCCCAGGAGGAGTTGCAGGGCATCTTTCCAAAATCTCCCAGGTGCACTTGTGTGTTACCTGTGGGTACAGGTGAGTGTCTAATGGCACAAGAAAGTTGTGCAGGTATGTTTTTATCAGACACTGCAACATGAGACTGTTAAAGTGCTTGATCTTTGAGTTGAATTTAGAGAAGATGGATTTCATGTGTGCCTGCTAAGTAATGGTGGTGTAGGAAAAAGTTTAGGCCTGTGAACTCTTGCTGTAGGGTGGGCTTTCCTCTGCATCCATTTCTCTGTTTTGTAGCAGAAGCTTGTCTTACACCAAATGTAGTTGATGCTTTTATCTGTACTTTCTGTTTCAGAGCAGCATTGATGATTGGACTAAAACCCAGTGGTGAGAGATTAATGTGGAACAGATGGATGAGCAGCTCAGAAGGTTTGCCAAGGCAGGTTCCACAGCCATCTATTTCTGCAATTTATCTGTCTCAGTGCCACCCCTCCCTCACTCTTCCCACCCACTTGGATGTTTTGGTGGGCTTTTTACTCATGTCCAAGCTGGATGTTCTGGAACAAGCTTTGTTTTGAAGGCTTTCTTTTAAAACTTTGTTTTTCTGAATGAGTTTGCAGCCCCTGTGGAGTTATAAGTAAAATCATGCTGTCACTTCTCTGAGTTGAGGCAATATGGGAAATAGAAAAAGAGGGTGGGGATTTATGGCAGACCCCTCCAGACAACAATCACTTTTACAGGTGGAATTTGCAGAGGTTCGTCTGCTCTGCTCATGGACATAGCTCCAGAGGGCTGGGAGCTGCAGGGAAGGTACTCATTTTTAAAGGGAGGTCACTTCTTTTGCCTGAAGTATTTCAATGTTTTGTTGACAGAAGAAAATTCCAAGGGGACAAGAGAAGTATGAAGTAAAAGTAACAACAAACACTCTCCCTACTAGTGTCCTGTAGTGCAGGACAATACAGTTGTGCCTCACAGACAGCACAGTGGTTGAATACAAAGTCTTGAATCTAACATATATAAAGCTGCTTCTTTTTTTGTATTTGTTTAATTCAGAAACAAATTATCTTTATTGCATGCCCATTTATTAGTCTTCTAAGAGAAAAATCAGATTTCATCATAGATGTTTTCTCCTAAATTTCTTCAAAATTGTGAACTCCACCTACCCAGTTCTGAAACTGGGTTCTGAAACATCAAAAAAATATCCCTGTGGTTTTGGTTCATAGTTGTTGGTTTTCAAAATTTTAATACATTTCTTTTACACCTTTTTGAAAAAAATATTGAAGACCAATTTCCAATTTTTTTTTTATTTTTAAAATTAAAAAACTTTGAATCTGAAAGTGTAGCAGAGAGTGCAACAGAATTTTTCTCTTTTTCTTTAATATAACAATGATTAATCACATACAGTTTTAATAAAAGCACGTTTAAACTTCTTTTCAATGCAGAAAGCTCCTAGCAGTATTAGCACAAAATTGTGGTATTTTTTCACAAAAAGAAAATGAAAAAATAATTGACTGTCACCTTTTCAAATAATTTATAAAAAATTTAAGGTTTTTTAAATTGAATTTTATTAGTCCTACCAGGTAGCAACAAAATACTGCAAATATCTGCATCACTCCCCAATGTTTCTATTCTGCAGATAGTGAGTCTGTATCTTACATCAGCTTCAATGGCAGCTGTGCACATAAATTACCTTTAGTGTTGTGAAGTACAGAACACCAGGGTACAAGACAAAACAAAGCAAAAAGAAAAAAAGCCTGTAACAGCATCAAGAAATATTTCTACTAGGCTGATTAAGTCCACACTTTGGTGGCAAACCTGAAAGTGTATCTGGTATCTAGAGTGCGTTTAACTTATTTAATTGTGTTTTTTAGTTAGATTCCATTTGAACACTTTGTTATATGCTTGTGTCAGATTTTTTCATTGACTTAATTTGCTCCCTGATGTCTCTTTTCTTTACAGGTGGCTTTTAGTTGCAGAAGACCTTCTCAGACCTTCTGGGAGTCCAGTTTCATAAAGGTAGAAAATGAAGTCTAAAGCATAGTTGCCAATGCTGTGCAAGAGTTGAGTAGTGAAAAGGTGAGAGATGTACCTTTTTTTTCCTTCTGTTTTTGCAGAATAGTATGTAACAAACTATTTGTTTGTTTAGGTCTTGTTTCAAGAAATTAATGGTACAATTGAATCTTTTCATGTTTCTTACCTAGGTATCAAAATTCACAGCCTAGCAAAATGAACCTTTTATCTTTGGTGTAGTTTGCCATCACTGTGAATTACATATAATTTATTAAATTCCTCAATTCCAAATATGAAATGTGATATATATAGACAGATGTTGTTATTTTTGCTCTTATTGTTCCCAAACTTTGGAAGAAATCAGCCAAACATGGACTGCCATGGAATTTTCTTACCAAGAGCATAAAAGAAGAGAAATTCCTTTATTAAAGTCCAATGAACAGCTGCTTGAAAGTTTAAGTAACAATCAAATAAAAAATTAATTATTAGAAATATTATTATTGTATCAATAATATTCACTCCCTTGATATACTTGGCAAGTTAAAAAGTTTTCTTCCTGAATCTTTATTGCAGATTTATATTTTCTCCAGATTTTAGTGCTGGGAATTTACATTTATGCTATGTAACTATACATATTCTAAAAACATTCCTGTCTCCATGTAGTAGTTAAAAAAAAATAACTTTGTGAGCTTGTCACTCGTTCAATTTTTAAAAGATCCTTTATTAATGCTGTCCATTTTCAGTGTTTAAAGATGTTTTCTCTTGTGATATCCAATGATAACAATTAAAGGAAATTTGTTAAGCTCTTGTTAGCTTTAGTTCCTCTGAAAAATAATTTTTTATTAGTGCTGTTTTTTGTTTCTTTAGTGGCTTTTTTGTTCTGTTTGTTTTTCTAGTTTCATAAGCAATTGATTCTGAAAACTAAATATGTGGTATATTTCATTGAACATGTGAAAGGCTGGCAAAGTAAATTTAACATGCAGATTCTGTCATTTCCATTTGGATGGAATTTCAATGCATGTGGTATCTTCATCAAAGTAATTATCTGCCTTGTTTTCCTTTTACACTGACTGGCAGCTGCTGGTGTCACAATTTGAGACAAAGATCTGTCTTTAATATCTTCTTTTACTTACTCTTTGTTAGCTTTTTATCCTCCTGGAGGCACATAGAGATACAATACTGCTGAGGTGCAGACATCTTTTCTACAAACTCCATGTCATTTAGGTAATTGATGCTTGAAACACAAGTTTAAGGTCTGTTATTTTTTAATGGCTAAAGGTAACTACAACAATCACATAAGCACTTGAACTGATACAAAGCAATATGCCTTAATTGTTCATTCTGACAAAAAAGAGTCACTGACCCCTTGCATAGTAAAGATTATAATTTTATGTTGCCAATATACCTGTAATTCAATCCACAGATGCTAGGGAAAGTCCTCATCATGTGCATTTCTGAAAATCTAGTAGAGGATAATGTTCTGTAGGGAGATTCTGTGCTTGAAATTTCAAATATATTTCTAATTGTTTTAATCTGCAATTTAGAAACATTGACAGTAGCATGTTTCACTATATGCTAAAATAGTATATTTTTTGTACAAGTTGAGAATCCTGTTAAGAGCAATGAAATGATTGGTGGTGTTTAAATGAAGTTTCTGAAGATACTGAAGTTTTTCATGGTGCATACGGAAAAAGGCATTGAGCTTGCATGAGCAGAAATACTCTAAGTTAATAATTCTGCTAAAATTTTTATCTAGTGGAAGAGTTTTAATGGTATCATCAGTGATATTTGCAATTCGCTCTGTTCATTTTACTTCTCCTTCATATTCAGTCTAAACACTATCAAAATAGGTGTTTGTGGCTTTAATTATTTTTCTTTTCCATCTAAGAAACAGAAATTAAAACAAGTCTATTAGGTGTATTCTTCCAGCTCTTTTTTCCTTTTTTTCTTGTCTCAGTTTAGTAAAACATATGAAGTAGAAAAAATAAATTTGAGAGTTGAAATAACTCCCTTTCTTTCTGTACAGCAGTTGGTGACTGACATAACAGATAAAGAAAATGTGATGGAAGCTACAAGAAAGCTAAAGGTGTACGAAAGTTTTTAAGCTCTGCAGCAGAGGTAAAATTTCCAGTATGACCACAAGCTGTTCTGAAGTGTAGCTCTGCAACAAGCAGGAAATGAGTGCTGTCAGATTGTTTCCTTTCTGTGCAGGTGTGAGATGTTCTGATGAATTTTTTTGTCATTTGTTCCTATTTGGCATACTAGATGTCTACTGCTTTTTACATGGCCAGTTCAACTTGACGCATAGACTCGTTATTTAGGGATGGCATGATGTCAAAATTGTCAAAGGTCTTAAAAGTGTGTTCTGTTTGGGTCAAATTCACTTTCTCCCTGTCCATACTCTGGGAGTCCTTCTTTCACAACAGGATGTGGTGGATTCATGCAGCCAAAGTCCTCCTTCCATGCACTTGAAGGAATGCCTTGAACTTCTCACCTGCATTCACTCTTCCTGGCTTTAGAGGCAGCCATGTTTTGAGGCACAGTCTGTTTCTTCTTGCAGGAAAATGTTGCCAGAGGGAGTTAAAAAAAACCCAACACAAACCTGTTTCATAAGATGTTACTTTTTTTGTTCTGAGAGATACCAAGCTAATATCTGGAACGCATCAGTCAGACAGAAATAAATATGCCTTCTTTTTCTTTCCAGATAAGCATATAATTGAATATTTTGATTCTTAGTACTTTTTGTGTCAATACAAATGTGTTTTCATGCTTTTAACTCTTTTTACATCAAAAATAATATGTGTATCTTTTAAAAAGTGGTTTCTTTGCTCCACCACTCAAGTGATTCTTACCTACTTTTTCATTTGTTGCTTTGGTGGTTTTCTTTTTAAATTTATCTGCTCATAACTGCCCTCTGTTGAGTTAGAATTTTTTTTTTTTCTCATTGTTTACTTGCTAAGGCTGGACTCTTTGGGAGGTTGAGGAGTTTCCCCTGCCCAGACTTACCTTTTGGGGAGACTTTTCTGGCACAATTCCATTCCTCTGGTTTCTTTGGTCTGAATGAAATTATGTTCCCTTTCATTTCCTGGAAAGGAAACATGAAAGGCTTGCCACCTTCTCTGTGCCTTACAGCTGTGTTCATAATTATTATTTTAAAACAGTGGATTACATTGTTCTGTTCTAATGTTTGGTCTGATTTTTACCTTAACTGGGACGGAATTCCTGGCTTTAGGATGATTGTTAAAAGCTCTGTCTCTTTCAGACTCTCTTTTAGTGAAAAAGCTTTGGCTGTATACTTAGAAAGCAAGCACATACTTTTTCTTTTCTTCTATTTTGGTTTTTCAGCAGACTTGCTAGACATCCTTTAAAGAGGAACACAGACAAAACAGCTGAGCCTCTTTGTGTATGAATGTACTTCATTTTTTCTACAGAAAGGCAAATTTTCCAGCTAACCTTGTGAGCTGATAATATCATTGAACTGCACCTTTTTTTTCTGAGCAAATTTCTAATTTATTTTGAAAATAGGAACATTTTGCCTAAGGAAGGTAGTAAACTTTTTTTTTTTCTCCCAGCTAAGATAAGGTGTTCAGCAAGAAGAGATGAGAGACAAATTACAAATCCTGATCTGTCTTTGCTGGAAATTTAGCCACATGGAAGTTGCATATTTGCATTTATTTGGATTTTTGGGTTGTAGGTTTGCAGGAATTAGAGATGGAAAAAGGTCAATGAGATCATCAAATCTATTCTTCTAGCATGGGTTGATCAAATTTCAGGCAAGCCATGCATAGTGATGATAAGTAAGACTGGAAGATGGATGGTGTTAGGTAGGCTGTTACTGACTGAGCTGCTGCCCCTTGCACGAGGAATGTTTTGTAGCTATTCTTCTGTGTTCCTGCCTTGAACAATGATCTTCTAGGTTTTGTGACACCAATCTATATAAAAGCACAGTCACTTTGATGTATTTCAGAAGCTTCATACTATGTTATCTACATGCCAGATGATACTCCTGGCCTCAGTTACCCTCCAGCCACAGCCATCAATTTTCTGAGTGCTAGTTTTTTGTGTGCCTCAGGCAAAACCTTTTTTTTGAAGGGCTCTGAGTTGTAACTCAGAAGAACTGATACTTCCAGAGGTGATGTAGGCTTGAACATGGAGCCTTTTCAAACATGATGGTAGGCCCTCATAGATTCTTTGCATAACTAAATCTCAGTGATTTGTTTCACCCACACATAAGGCAAGCAAACAAGTCTTCCATTTTAGGTGTCAGGCATAGAGTGTATTGGTGTGTAGACAGTGATTTTCAAATTCCATGGTCTTTGGAGAGATGTGTAGCTACAAAAGTAATTTAGACCTTAATAAGGCAATTTGTAGAATAATCATTAGCCAAAAATAATAACAATTTCAAGATTTCTCAGTTTTATATTGAGCATTGTCCTTCAGACTCTTCTGACAACTGACAGAATTGTAATTAACTCTATTCATTGATTTATCTTTTTGGCCCAGCTTTTCCCTATAAAAACCTTGTGTATAGTAATCATGTAACAGTCAGAGAATCATCCACTTTAACAGAGGCATTCATTAGTGTGATTGACACAAATATGATGTAAATGGCTTCCTTATACATCTTATAGTTTTGGATGCAAATAGCCCATCATCTTACCAAACTTTCTGAAAATGTTGCTGAACTTAAATTTCAAGAGAATACAGAGGAATATATAAATGTTGCCCTTGGGAAATAATAGCACAGAAAAGGAGCATGACAAATGTAGATCTAAGGATCAAATATGTTGAGTTATGTGAAATCTCCTTTATTAATTTTGCCCTCTTTGGGATGTAGATTAAATAGACACTTTCCACTTTCAATTGCATCAAATATTACTTTTAGTTATATAAATTTGGAAGAATTAATAAATAATAATAAACTCAGAACATTTTGTAACCCAATACTGTGTAATTTACTATAATTTAATAAATTTTCTATCTTTTTTATCTATAATTTAATAAATTTTCTTTCAGCACTCTCACACATCTCCTATCAGCTGAACCTTTCAGCTGGTTCTGAGCCTCATATTTGCCAAGTGGCCAGCCAGCATGTGTGCTAACTGGGTAGTGGAAGGTCAGGGAGAGCAGATCAGCAACTTCTGAGACAATAACTTATTGTTCTCAGAACAGTGCTGAATGCATAAGCATTCATGTTGCATAAAATCAATGTTGCCTGTAGTTCTAATGATTGATTGTCACAGCAGGGAGGCCCCAGACTAAATGGACAAGTATATGCAGCTTGCTTCTTGGAGATAGTTTCTCCAAGATACAGCTGTGTTTGAGCACAAGGAGACAGAAAACACTGTATTATCTGTGCCTACTCTGGGGCTGTGGACACAAAAACTCCAGACTTTCTTATTTGGAGCTTTAAGATGGTATGTCTGTGTTCAAATCAAATGGATATGTAAAAAAAACCCAGTATCTGGTGTCTCATCTAAATCTTACTGAATATACAGTGACAGAGAAAATGGAGGGAAAATCCACTCTCATTTCAAGTTTGTAAAAAGTAGTGATGTAAGGAAAATCCTTTGTAAAGATTGAGATGAACTTCCTTAATTTTTAGTACAAAATATACCATTTATGTTACATGCATAAATTTATGCATGCTTGGGGTATTTTTGCTTCAAAAGGTGTAGCAAAAGTTGCTACACCTTGAGGAAACAGTATACAATACAGTACATCTCTGCTCCATGGAGAGCACATTGGCCTATGAAGAGAGGCAGAGATAACTGAGTTTTTTACCATCCCAGCCCAGGCTGAACTTTGTGCCTCATAACCCTGATGGGTTTTGGATGTAGAAATGGCATCTGGTAGGCTGAAAGAGAGCTTGGCAACAGCCCTGAAGGATTGCCACAAGAAGCAGTTTTGGACATTGCCTTTTTGTTTAATTCACAGAAAGTAAATACAGTGTGAAAATAGTCATATTAGTATAGTTTACATATTAAATGTTAAACATATTAGCATATTACTATAACATATTAAACAACACAGCACCTATTGAGAAAAGCAACATGGATTTTTCTTCAATTTCTGCTACCTCATAGGCATTTTTATCACATCTTAATTACCAGGGTTTTGTAGGACTATTCTGAACTGAGACAAAAGCTAAAAGTGAACATATTACTACAATGGTGTGCTAAGAACAAAGTACACATTCAGTATTTATACATACAATTCAATACATATATATCCATTGGCTAGAAGGAAGCCAAAACTATTGGGTTTGTTTATGTCAAACCAAGCAGTTTACGTCTATGTTTAGTTTTAGTCCCATTTCAGAGGGATACCTTGTGCCATTTGATTTTTGGCTTTACCCTTTCTTACCTCAAACTTCTGAATGTTTTTCTCCTGGTGTGAGTACTCTTTCTCTTTGTGAAAACTTTCAGTAGTTTTGGGTTTTTTTTTTCCAGCATAGAATATCTGCTGAAGGGAATTACAAAATAGGAAAGAGATTTTAGAGAGGTCATGAATATCTGACAGAACTGTCTAAATTTTCCCTGTAGTAAAAAATGCATTATATCTTTCTATAGATATTTCCATGTATTTTTATATTTGCCTCCTTAAAATTACACGCAGTAGTTGACATTGGGGGTTTCCCCCCTGTTAATATGAAATCTGAATAATTCCATAGTTACTTTGTGTTACATAACTCTGTGTAGTCATTTATACCATATTTTGTAATCATCCCCTTATTGCTTTGTCTATTTTTAAAATGTCTCTGATCTTTTCTAAGGACTATTTTTAGTTTGCCAATAAATGTTCTTGTACAATTAGTACAGTTTCATAAAGTCTGGTATAATCGCTATGGAGATTATAACCACAGAATTTTCAATTCCATTTCATGTACAACTTCTTATCTATCCATCCCTCCTACCCTGCCTAGCTGACCATCTGCAGTATTTGTTCTCACCTGGATTGTTGTTGGTTTGGAGAAGGATCAAATTTCTGTTTATACCAGGATTTCTTCTGGCATCTTATGTTGACTATCAGGAAATTTGTACGTACAAGCCAGTTTTTATGGTGAATTAGTTCATGATGTAAGCAGAATTCATTTCTAGTAATAATAATGGT